GGTGCGTGTGTGGGGAGGGGGGAGGAATTCAAAAGGTTTGATTGCATGCAGAACCACGTTACCTTTTCAAACACAAGACACACACAAAGACACACACACACCTGGATAAAAATATATAAGCCCAGCTTCACTGATTACAAGTTTGAAAAGGCAACATGGCAATCGAAGGTTCGGATCGGAAGGCAGCAGGAAAAGAGGGGAGGTTTGGCAGAGGAGCTACTTTCAAGCCATTGGAAAATATATCCAATCCAACTTCTGTGTTTGTGTTTGTTTGAGAGAGTGTGAGTGAGAGAGGGATCCAACTTCTCTGTGTGCGTGTGTCTGTTTGAGGGGGGGGGGAGAGGAAGGAAGGAGTGGGAGGGAGAAGAAAAAGAATGAAGGAAAACTTATTTAGCAAAAATGCTGTCGCTTTAAATCAGAACTGAGCATGCCTGACTGTGAAATTCTGGGAGTTGAAGTCCACAAGTCTAAAAAAATTTGAAACCCCTGTGTCAGTGCCTCACCAGCTATAAACCTCACCGCAGGTCATTGATTTACTGCCATGTCCAAAATGTTCCATATTCAAAATATTATACTACAGTAACTATATACATCTGTGCCCTACTGATAATTTAAGGGTTATAATGTATATAGGCTGCAATTTTGTATCTACTTAGTAGGAAATAAGGCAGGGCTACCATTAGGTTTCAAAAAGCTCCGTATTTTCTTTGCTGCCATCTCATGGTTGTCCAGATTGCAAGCTAGGTAGAACAGTGCTAGAGTAAAGTTCATTAAATGTAATAGGATTTTTCTGAGTACCTACATTTAGAATTTGGTTGTCTTATTTCTTTTCATTTTTGTAGGGCATGAAGACATCTAGTAAGCAAGATGAGGCCTGGATCATGAATCGTCTGATAAAACAGCTTACAGATATGGGCTTCCCAGTAAGTTATATTCAAATTTCAACATATTCTAAATGTGAAATTGATTCACTTCCAAGCATGTCATTAAGATCAGACTGTAGGTGAGTTGACAAAAAAATATCTGATAAATTTCAAAACAGATACAGAGCATAACTAGAAGATTAGAGGCAATAGCATGGAGTGAGGGACAGAAAGGGGATAACTTCAAAAGTTGAAACCAATATGAAACCAGCTCTGTCCATTTTCTCCAAATGAAGCACTGCTGTACATATTGAAGGAGACTGACCTTGGGTCACAGTGCTCCTTTTGTCATATTTATGAAAGCAATTAATCTTATAGATGTCTGGGATTAGAGGCCCTTTTCATTCTAAAATAATTGGCCAAAAGCTGGTTAAAGGTAAAGTTGTTTAGCATATAGAAGATGGAAACTTGTTAAGAACCAGTTTCCTTTTACAAAATTAAATCTTATCAATATCTGAGAATTCTATTTTACTTTAAGAGATTTTTTTTTAATCAGATTAAAGATCCCTGAGGATATATTTTTGATATCAGTTGTAAATTGCCTGAGGAAGTCTTAATGTAATTAGTAATTTGTTACAAAACAAAAGATTTATTAGTTTTGCAGCTTCTTTTGTATGTCCAGTGTAACATTTTTTTCCATGTCATTCTTCCAGTCTGTCATTTTTAAATCCACTTTCAAAGTAATCACAATCAAGTCAGATAATCCTTGTCCTCTCAGATGCAAATAAAATTAGCTTCTGGTTCCATTGTTCGAAAATATCCTTCAATATGTCCAATGTTAATATATTTTGTTTCATTTTGTACAGACAGTCCCTGGGTTAAGAGCAACTGACTTAATGGGCAACCCATACTTACGAATGAGCTGCCTATTACTAAAACTGGCAGATGCATTGTCCTTTCTCAAGCCAATGAACCGTCAAATCTTTACAATATTTTTATGATCTATTGAAGCTGTGTGTTTTTAATATACAGCCTGTTTTCAGTAGTTCTTTAAAACATTGTGGAACTTCCGCTGTTCATTGACTTGAGGAAAGTGAATGCCATCCACCATTTTAGTAATTGTACCCCAAATGGCAACCCATTTGTAAGTAAGAATTTTGACTTACATACAAATTCAAGTGAATGACAGAGTTAGGAATCAAATTCATTCTTAACCTGGAGGGTTGCCTGTAATTAGCAAGTTGAGTAAGTTGAAATTAAGTTTAAAAATCTTGCTCAAAGTAACAAGGTATTCTACCACAAATTTGTGAAAGAGGAAGAAGGGCTTGGGTGCAATCCTAAAACATCAGCATTGACAAAATCACTATCAATCAATTGCAGAAAACAGCTTTGCTTGGAACAGCTTACATACCGTGACAATACCTTTAACACTATCAAACAACATCTCCCTATCCCAGGTCTTTGGGAAAGATTCGATCAGGGGATTTAAAATGCCAACTCTTCTCTATAAACATCTGGCTGACTATGTAATGGACCAGAATTTATTAAATTTGTATGCCCAATTCTCAGTGACACTGATTGATTCACGACAAAATCAATAAAAGATAAAAGTTGGCAAGAATGATAAAGTGATCAGTCTCACTCTTCCTTGCCAAAAGCCTTGATGAAAAAAGAAGTGAATGAGAGATAATTAGGAGAAAAAAATCAAAACACCAGTAGACTGGGTGTATGGAGAAAACACTGAAAACCCTAGCATTTGATTGTTCTGCAGATTATTGGAAGTGGATTATGCTAGGGTCATGATGGCGAATCTATGGCACCCATGCCGGAACTGACACATAGAGCCACACGAACTGTTGCCTGCTGCTCTTTTGGGTTCAGGTGCGCCAGCCAGCTGGTCTTCACTTGCGTGGGAGTGCCAGAAACTGGAAGAGCAATAGTCGCCCAGTGCGTATGCACACGCTGGAAAGATGATGTTCCGGTTTCCAGCACACGCATGTGCACCAAGTGGCTGCTGTTCTGGTTTTTGGCATGCATGCACATACGAAGACCAGGTGGCTGGTGCACATGCATGCGCCAGAAACCAGAAAACCAACTTCCCGGCGTACGCATGTGCACCTGCCAGCTGCTCTTCTGGTTTCTGGCACATGCGCTCCCGTTTCAGCGCTCAGTGCCAAAAAGGTTCAATACTGTTCTAGGATATGATATGAAGCTTATAGTATGAAAACAAACTATCTTTAAAGTTAAAAAGCAAGCAAATAAATGAAAAAAATCTATATATTAAATTTACAGTCACTATTTTACTAGAAATATTATATAATATTATATATTGCTATAGTACAATCAGATACAAAATATTATTTAAAATATAAAATATGTGCCAAAGAAGAACATATTGCTTCATCCTTAGGTAGAAATTATTACCTTTTCCAGAATGGACAAATTGTACATTTCTAAAAGCCAATCTAATATCTAGTATAATGTCACTTTTCCAATTTTTCATTATTATTCTTAGACATCTCACATGCACTGTACAGTCATAATTCCTGATTCCAAAGCTTTGATGAATAATTCAACATCACATTAACTTCTTTAACATTTAAAGGTTTTCCCATAAATCTACTTATGTGCATTAAAATACTATTTCAGAAAAGTATCATATGTTCAATGAACTCTTGAAAAAAATTTTACATTACATCTTTAACAAAAAAGTCTAATGTTTTTTGAGTATATTCTTTAGGGTGTTCTCATTTATTGTAAATATAATTATTTTTATGAATCAGATTTATTTTCAAATCTGTTGATACCATTTTAACATTTATAAAAATATGAAGGCCATTTTGCCTCTTTCTAGTTCTTTGGTCCATATTTGAAATATCCCAGTAGTGCCTACTTTAAATATTCTTGATTTTTGATAAAGTTACGTTCTGAATTTATCTTCTGAAATCATCTCTGCCTCTATTACATATTTCTATACAATTGTTTCAAAACAGTAAAGCTCCTGGCCTAAGTGGTTATTCAATGGAATGGTACAATGCATTTGCAAATTTTCTGGCCATTACAATCACAGTTCATTGAAAATGTAATAGTTTAGTAAAAAAAAAAAAGATTTATTGGGTGTTCCTAAGATAAAAATGGACTGCAAGAAAAGAACCCAGATCAAAGAGTATCAAAAAAACTCTTCATTTCAACCCTGAGCTAGAAATATTCTCCTCTATAGAATGGACTATATTTTTTAAAACAAATGATTATTAGATGTGATCTCCCAAGGAATTTTGTTCATTGGATTACAGTTCATTATCTGCATTAAAGTAATAATAAATCAAAAGATTTCTGACTACCCCCTTTCGCCCTTGCTATTTAATTTGATTGTTGAACTTTTAGCTGATATTGTAAGGCTATCTTTGGACGTTAAAGGCACTGTTTTCAGGGTGTGTACAAATAATTTAATAAGCTGATGATATTTTGTAGATTTGGAGACGTATTTCATGTTTTTGCCTAATTTTATAAAAACTTCAGTATTTCAGAGAGTACTGTGTCTATAAGATTAACTAAGATAAAACTTGCTTACTTCCCTTAGGCTCTAACATCACACAGTTATATAGAGTGTTGGTTTTGTCATTTCTATATATTAAGTATCTTGGATTTTACATTTCTCAAAATATTTCTAATATTTGATGTGGAAATAAATACTTTGAATTTTTATTTAATAAAATGAACGGGATATAAATAGAGAAACTAAAATCTCCTTAAGTTTGTGGGGTAAAATGAATATTATTAAAATTAATATTCTTCACTTTATTTATGTCCTTAGAGGTATCATAATATGAATACCAAATAAACATTTTCTTCAGATTGACAGGCTACTTAATTTATTTGCAATAGTAGTCCACCAAGGTTTCCATTAGCTAAATTGAAATTACCATTTGAGGATGGTGGCTTTAATTTATCTGATTTGAAAACTATCATTCGGTTTATATTTTATTAGCATTGCAAATTAAAATTTAGTGAAATATCATCCTCTATGGGTTATGTTGGGATTTTATTATTTATTCCCTTTGTGGTCATGACAAGTTCTTAGAACAACATGTATTAGAAAGTACAATTGTTCCCAAGCTGTGAAAACTTTGGGGGCCATATTGGCGCATAGATTAGTTTTTGATAATCACACTTAAGAATATTTAACTCTCTGGAAAATTACTGTTTTAAAAATCGGTGTAAAATGTTATTGGAAAGTGTGGGCAACATCCAGGATAATGACTTTAAATCAGTAATTGTATAATCATCATCTTAAGGATTTTTCCCAATTCCAAGTTGAATTTTTCTAGTTCACAACAGTTGTCAACTTAAGCATTTTTTGATGGCTCAGAATAGGCTAGATCATGGGTGTCAAACTCAATTTCATAGGGGCATATACATCAGGATTGTGTTTGACCTCAAGGGACCCAGATGTGTGTGACCAGGGTGGATGTGGCCAGCTCAAAGTCACTTGTATCAGGGGCGCCTGTGGCGGCCCAAGCACTCTGCCAGCAAAAACTGGCTCACAAGCTCCGTTTGCAGCTGCAACAGCCTCCTGCAACCCTCTGCCAACAAAAATGGAGCATGGGAGAGCGGCAGGTGGCCTTCATGAGCTTTGTTTTCAGCTGCGACGGCCTCCCTCTGCCAGTGAAAACGGAGCTTGGGAGAGCCATGTGCAGTCCACCTGAGCTCCATTTTTGCTGGCAGAGGCATCACAGGGCAGTCCTTCCCTGTTTCTAGAGTGGCCCTGTGGGCCAGATCTAAGCACCCCGTGGGCCAGGGGTATCTTGAATTTGATACCCCTGGGCTAGACGCCTTGGCCATTTCAGAGGTATTTGAGATTCTTTGTATTACATGGAATCCATGACATGGGTTATGAGCTAAGATTGCCAAACAAACAACTGCCAATTTGCTTATTTCCAGTTTAGGAGCAGACTAGAAACCTGGACTGGGGGACATATTTTTCATAGTACATTTGAAAGTTGGTACCATGGCTATTTCCTATTCCAAATGGTTGAACCTAAAATTGATATTTTAAGTTTGCCAGTTTTTTCCAGTTCACCATCTGTTGCACACCTAGACTTTTCTTGATCTGCAGATCTTGGCAGGTGATCAGTTGTATGTATCTCTTTGCTATGAAAAGCTTTGTTTGCTATTTCAACACATTAACCTGCTATTTGACCACAGGGCACACTCCCTCCCCCACTTTAGTTGCAAATATCTGAATATTAGCTGTTGAAATGTCAGTTATTATCACCTCTTAACATAATGAGAGTATACTTGAGGTGCTTGTAGAATGTTCTCATAAAAAGTTATAAACTCTGTTTTTTGTAGTTAGCGACCAACACATTTTCTTATTTTTGCAGAGAGAGCCAGCAGAAGAGGCCTTAAAGAGTAACAGTCTGAATCTAGATCAGGCCATGAGTAAGTACTTTTGTAAATGATACACCTGTAGATATGAGTGAGGATTGTTCTGTTTCAGTGAAATAAATTGCATTATTTTAAAACCATTTTATGTATTGTATTTTTCGGACTATAAGACGCACTGAGTATAAGACGTACCATGATTTTGAAGATGTAAATTTAAAAAAAAGATTTTGCACTCTGCATGCCTCCCAAACCCTCTGCACACCTCATTTTTTTGCAAAACAAAAGTGGGGGGGGCATGCAGAGCTTTAGGAGGCTTATAGAGTGATCCTGGGGTTTGGGGCGGGGCAAAAATGAGCAAAAAAAGACCCATTTTTCACAAAAACGGGCTACTTTTTTTCCCCAAAGAAAAAGGGCATACAGAGCTATGGAGGCTGTTAGAGTGCTCTTGGTGGCTGGGGCGGGGGCAAAAACAGCCCTCCCCAGCCCTCAGGAGCACTTTGCAAGCCTCCCAAACCATCTGCACATCCATTTTTGCAAAGGGGACAGGGTTTCGGTAGGCCAAAAATGGTGTATTCAGTGTATTAAACGCATCCAGATTTTCACCCTCTTTTGCGGGGGGAGGTGCGTCTTATACTCGAAAAATACAATAAGAATTGGGTAGGCTTAAATCTGTACTAATTCAGTGTTTTAGAAGAGCATATTTATTTTAAATTTAAAATCTATTTATACTAAGAAAAGTAGTGAAAGCAATATAAATGTTACTTCATCTTGATTTAGATAAAGATTCCTAATTTTCTCATCACATTTTCATATTTGCTTTACCATTTACAGGTGCTCTGCTGGAAAAGAAGGTGGAAATGGACAAGCGTGGAATGGGAGTAGCTGACTACAATGGAATGGTCACCAAACCCCTTGGCTGCCGCCCACCACCGATCTCCAAAGAGTCTTCCATGGACCGCCCCACCTTCCTGGACAAGGTAGGGGCAGCATTCTGTGTGTTTTCTAGCTTGCTTTATACAAATTACTTTGATACTAGTTGGCCTTTGAGTCCTTCTAATAGTATAGGTTTTTAATAGGCATGTAATGGATAGGTATATGAACAGAAAATTATTGAATTAAATTTCTCCACTTTATGACCAAATTGGTATTTCACATTGCTCTTATCAATAGTTGTTGAAAACAAAATAAAATCAATCAAATGTGTTAAATTCCAATTCTTTTAGAGTTTTGGATACCTTTAAAATTAGTTTTTATAGATTTTGCTGCCCATATTTAAATTGGCACTTATCAAAGAGATAAGAGCCATATGTTAACTTCCTAACAGCATTCCATGATATGTTGGATGTAAGCATTAGTTTTACAAAGTAGAGCACTTGTGATTAGCAGAAATACAGGATATTAAATACTGTTCGTATTTGAGACTCAAGGCAGGATTGCAAAGAGCAGAGGGAAGAAATCTTTGAACCTGTTAGTGTCATGCAAGCTGCAATTTGTGGAGCATGATGGATATCCTTGCAGAATGTTAAGCATGTTGAGCTGAAAGGCCTTGAGGATATGACTAGAAAATGTCAGGGTCCTCCCTTAGGGCTTTCCAGCATTAAATAAACATCAATTTGATTGATAATAAAGACACGTGGAGGCTTCTGGGGGGCAGAGTGGAGGGGAGAACCTCTAGCAGGATTTATTTAGAATTTCAGAGATTTTTTATATTTGATTGGCATTGAACATTGTTTTCCCTGCTTCAGGAACATAGAGTATTCTTTGATAATCTGAGTGAATAGTGAGAAGATAATGCAGGTTAACTGTAAAATAATTATTTTTAGGAAGTTAATGAAGTGCATGTATTCTTGAAGTTACTTTTGTTTGCAAAGTACAGAGCAAGTTCAATGCTTCTTTTCCTACCAATTCCTTCAGATTTTAAGTTGAACGGTATTTCCCTGCTTAAGAGGATTTTTAGGCATCAAAAAATTAAAATATATACTGTATAACGCATTGTAGAGTTCATTGTAATAATTCACCATGAAGTGAATCGCATGAGTGGCCACATGAAAATGCATATATGTGAAGGTCCTTAAAGTCATACCCTACACCTACACTTGCCCTAGCTTCCAGAGCTCTAAAATGTGCAGAACCTGCTTTGTGGCATGCAAAGCCCTTTATGCCACATTGCTAGGCTGGAACTGGGGCAAGGCTTCACGCTGCATCGAGACTCAGGGGCTCTTACAAACCCAGAGCTGTGTCACACCAAGAAGCCCCAGCTACCCAGCCCAGCCCTAGCCTCAAGTCGCCTTTGCCACCCTTTATTCCAAAGCCCTGCTGCTCTACATTCTATTGTTCCAGCTGACCTTCACCATCTTCCTGCTCCCCCTTGCTGATGAGGCATGCATGATCTGGTCCTTCAAGAAGCAGCTGCTAGCCATATTAGGCCATCTTTCCCAAGTCTCGTGAGGAAACCTCTGAGCATAATCTGAAAAGAAGTTTTGTGTAGCCTGTAGCTCCCTTATGGTGGAAGCATGCTGGCCATGCTTATCAGATGCCAGAATAGGAAAACAATGGAAGTCAGCTATCATAGCAGGGGCCACAAAGTGCTGGGGGGGGGGGACATAGATGGCGTGGTGATAGGTGGGTGGTGAGAGTTAAAGCACCCCTGTGGTCATAAGTGTGAAAAGGCTGCCAAGCACCTGAAATTTGGGGACTCGTATGTCCCTTCATTCAGCCCCACCATAACTTTTAAACAGTTACAGAATAAATGAACATAGTTTTGGACAGCCTGTATGTGTCAGAAGAAAAGCAGAGAAAGGATAGAGCACTTGTATCCAAAATTTGCTCTTATTCATCTATTATTATTATTATTATTGTTATTATTATTATTATTATTATTATTATTATTATTATTATTATTATTATTATTATTATTATTATTATTATTATG